CTTGGAGTATGTGTCAGTGCCTGGCTAGTATAGGTAGTTTTGGCCACAGTTTAAGGGAGCTGGATGGTGTGGCACGTGGTCTCCCCTAGCGCCCAGTAGCATGGCAGGAACAACAACATTAATGGTTGTTTGCTGCAGTTGACACCGGCTTGCTCTGGAAATCGAGGGGTGAGTGCTGCAACTCTTTCACTGCAATTTTCCAGAGGCTCACGGGCATTTTTATGTAACACGGGTCCTTCTGGTGCTGCTGGGTTTTATGGGTCATATGATCCAGGTGACAGAACTTGTCATACTACAGTCTAGACCATTGGATCGTCTAGGTCATACCAGCACTGCTCTTAATGCTACAAAGACCTGCGGCAGAGTCCTTTTTGCTCCCGGGACCTACTCACAGCTGGAAGCCTACCACTTCACCAGTAGATGGGACAAAACAGCGTATACAGAGCAGGATATAATGCTCCCAAACCCAAAGATGCCTTTGCAGTATTGGGCTTCTTTGTTAGTGACAGGAGGGGCCAGGTACAAAAACCTATCATTTACTTTGAAAGTCAGGTCCTGGCCTTTCCCAGAACATAAGACTCCTAAAAACTTTGCCCACATGCCAGCCTCTAAATCTTTTTCAGCTTGGTCTGTTACCCCCTACCCTTGGGCACACGTGATTATGGAAGCAGAATCCTTGCCATTTTATTCTATTTTAATTTGTGCTTATCAGATCTAAGTGATACAATGTCATAAATAAAATGGACCAAAGTGATTTCCTAGAGGAACTCTAGATAGTTCATGTCCTTGTGGGCTGGGTTGTGAAGTAATAGACAGATTCACATAATCTTGGTTAAAGCAGTGGCACATCCCATGTGAGTGCAGACTGCCTGATTCTCCTTTCAAGTAGGCATTGGAAACGGTGCATGGCTGGGCCCCAGCGCATGTAGTGACCCAAGGGTGTGTGCATCCACTCTAGCAGGTCCCACAACCCACCCAGCAGAAGCACTTGGAGCTGCCACTGACGTCCACAGCCATCCACAGGCATTCGTTCTCTCTAGCCAGGCATGCAGGGTCCGACTGGTGAATTCAACGGGGATCTGATGGGGAATGTGCATCATTTACGCACTAAACTCTGTGTGCACCCTAGGAAGCAGTGTCTTTTTCGATTCGTTCTCTCGGGTATTGGTAGTGGTGGTGGTGGTTTCAAGGCTGCCATGAGGCTTTCCTACCGTGTATCCTATTCTGCAGGTCAAGGAACCAATATAAGGGCTTGACATTTTTGCACTGGAAAATGAAATTCCCTCATGTGCTTTTGTAAATTGAAGTATAATTTTCATACAACAAATTCCTCCTTTTAAGGTATACAACTTTATGAATTTTAACAAACATATAAAGTCCAGTAACCAGAATTGAGATGTGGAACATTCCTATCACTGAAAAAAGCCTCTCATGCCCTTCTGATTCAATTTCCAAACATCAGCTTAGCCCTTGCTTGTTTTCTGTACTGGAAGTTTTGCCTTTTCTGGAATTCCCTGTGAATGGAATCCTAGGGTGTAGAGTCTTTCTGCCTGGCTCCTTTCACTTAGCACACTACTTTTGAAATTAATCCCTATTGTTGCAGCAGCTAATTCTTTTTATTGCAGAGTTACTGAGTAACTTTATAGTTGAATAGCTTTAACACAGTTTGTTCATTCACCGGTTGATAAACGGTTTGGATCCCCAGTATTTGCTTATTTTGAATTGAGCTGCTTTGAACTTTCATATGCAGGCTCTTTTTGTTTGCTGGGTTTTGGGTTTTTTTTTTTTAATGGAACTCATTTTATCAATTCTTTGTCTTAGGCTTCCTTTTTTAAATGCCGTATGAAATCTTTGCCTCGCCTGATCCAGGGTACAAAAATTTTCTTCCCTGTTTCATTTTGGAGTTTTGCATATTTAGCTCTTGTATTTCAGTCTGTTATGCATTGTGAGTTATTTTTACATGCAGTACAAGGATCAAGGGCCCATTTTGGTACTTGGATGTCCACTTGTTCCAGAGCCATTTGGTTAAAGGTTTTCCTTTCCCCACTGAATTGTATTGCCACCTTGGTCAAAATAAGTTGACCATATATGTATGTTTCTAATTCTGGTATCTCTGTTCTTGTGCATTTACGTTTCTCTTTAGGGCAGTGCCACACTCTTGATTCTTGTAATTTATAATAGGTCTTCAAATAAGGCACATAAGCCCTGTGCATAGGTCCTCCTTTTTAGAATTGTTTGGAACTTAAAATAGTCTGAAGTAGAACTGGGGCACATAGGCTGGGTCCTGACCGAAAGAGAACTGGGGTGG